TCGTCCGAGTTTTCATAATGCGAGCCATTTCGCGAATGGTGACAGTCTTCGTCGAGCACAGCGGGTGAATTGCAACAGTGTATAATGTGAGGGAAACACAATCTGCAAAGGTGAGTAATTTAAAATACAACTGCTTCACTTCATTTAGAGACTGGTTCCCTTTACAGAAAACATGAAGTCAGGCTTGCGGCTTCATGTCCTGACCTGCCATCCAACGGATGTCAAGCGCAGCAAAATTAATGAAAAGACCATTTTAGGAGCATACTTCCGTAAGCTTCCATGAAAATAGGAAAAATCACAGAGACTTCCCACTTTTACAGGCTGGGGTTCTATTAGTATTCACGCATGCCATTACGCGGGAGGCTTTGCGAACGCGAGTGCTCTGTTTTTATTGATTTCTCCAAAAAAAACATATACACCCACCTTTGATATTGTGATATGTGGCTGTCGAGAATTGACGAGTAGCTAACTAACCCCGTCTAGTCGGTCAGCAAAGGGAGTAGCCACCTTCCCTCTCCCATCCTGTTTATTTGGGACTCGGATAAAAAATTCTGAAACTTTCCTTAATAAACGCCTTGAGAAGACTGAAGTGGGAATGAGCGAATTTGGATCGACTTTATCCAGTGTCACGATTTTCGATTCTAAACTCAAATACAACCTTTGATCTCATTATAACTCGAAGTGCAGATCTAATTTGGACGAAAATGTCTTCCTGATCAGGGTAAATTTACAGTGATCACCAGAGGCAAACGAGTCGGAGTCCATGTTTCACGCCGATTCCTCTCCTCGAAAATACGAATTCTTTACCCTATATGAGCGAAAAATGCACTTCTACGTAAGTATTGACTGTCTTATTAGCACACATTTCCGCACGGAATGGCAGTGCTTCCAGAGGCACCAGACTTTTGCTGTGTGGTTTCTGGTAAACTGCTGAATGTACGTGTGGTGGACTACACTGTAACCCTTGTTTGGTGTGGTCCCCTGTCATGCCTTTTTCCATATCTTCCTGCAGGCGGTTTCGTCCAAATTGTTTTCTCTGCAACCTGCCCCTCCAACCGACCGACTATGTTTGCCGAGCGGAAAGCCTCATTCGATGTGAAGGCCCAAAACACGAGGGCGGTCTTCGTTCCTGCCATGTGGATTGCCTTGTTTGCAGCGTCTGCTGCAGACGCCTCTGTTGTGGGGAGGTCTTCTGTCTATACGGATGCCTTGCCACCTGTCTCTCACACAGTGCTGACTTCGAAATGTCGACTTGGCAAAGGGACCACGCGGTGGTCCCCCTGCCTTTTCTCAATGTCGAAGAAGAGGTTACCCAGTGCCCAAAAGACAGTAATCTCCTATCTCTAAAATCTCCAGGTCTCAGTTCTCACGCGAAGTCCGAGAGGCAGGAACAAGAAGATCTCAATGATCAAAATCCCGGATCGACCGATAGGAGTCCGATGAAGCCTACGGCACACCAGAGAATTTCCGAAAAGAGTAAGCCTTCTGGATAGTTAGGGCAACCTGCCTTTAAATAGCTCCGTCATCCCATGTCGTTAGAAATATCGATTAACATTGGTTGGCACGCTTTCTGCCGGGGTGAGGGATAAAATTGACCAAGGTTACTGAGTTTGAGATCGATTTGGCACCAATGACGAACTTTTTGTCAAGTTTTCACCAAGTGCACACATTGCTTATATACATGCTATGTCAAGGATTGCTAAATGAAATAACAACATGGCATCTGCTCAGCGCTGAGTAGTAGACTGTAAGGGGCGTGCTTACGGCCAGCACTGTTGAACGGACCCGGACCTGACGCATAAAGTTATGGACAAGTTTGTTCTTCCGTTTCCCCCTCCCATGAGCAGGGGGGGGTGCGTGTCCGCAGACTCCAGATCCTCTTTTCCTTCACCCATTGCCTTTCTGTACAATGACATCCGACCTTTCTTTCATTTCTTTCTTTTTTTCATTCACTCCTATATATACATATATAGGCAGAATAACATTACCGATAAAGACAAGGGAGACTGGAATGATGACCTCTGACTTATTTGCCGTCATCAGCCAGTTATACCCAACCCCGTGGTGTGCAACGACTAGGGTCGGTCATGCGACCTGTTGGTTAGGAGCCTAACGCTCTAACCACCGACACAGGCTCATTATCCTGTCGGTTGCAATCAAAAATATACAATGGTAGAGGGGCGCTCACTGATCGCGTTAGGGAACTCACACCTTGTGCGTTGAAACAATTGTTACGCAAACTAAACCTAACATACATAAAACACAGTTCTGGTAAAAAAAAAGTACTTTATGGAGGCAGGATTTGACATCAAAGGGTTAGACATTTTTACAACGGTCTGCAGACGGATTGTTTTATTTACACTGGGAGGACATCCCAGAGTACAGACAACTACCAAAGCCACAGTGCTTTATTGCTGAACATTATTAATGCGGCCGCAAACAACTGAATTAATGTCAACTTATAATGAATATATTCAAAATTTAGGTGAGACTTTGGACAATACGCAGTGGGAAGAAAGCGATTCAGCTACGAGGTGCGTGCTTCCCAAACGTCCAAGGACAGTTTTGACGTCTTCTCAGCGTCGGAGATTCAAAATGATCTTTGAAATGAGTCCGAAACCTGATCGCAAGGTGGGTTTATGGTGACTTTTTATATTATTTCCAGCTTTGACTGAGGGAGTTAACTTGCTTCATTAGGTTCTGTCTTGTTACTAATTTAATAATGGAGTTTATTATTTAAGCGGATGCCAAGGTCTATCGTTTTGAAAAATATAAAATTGCCGTGCTGACTATGTCAAGATGTTACAAAGTCTCCGATTGGTACTCACACACAATCGATCCCTCGTCAGTCTGATTAGTACATCTATTAGCCGGTTACACTGGACCATTTCTCCTAAAGTATGCTCAACTGATTCTTTCTCCATTGTTTTCATTGCCAGTTCACTCTTCGTAGTCTACGTCTGTTTATCATTCGGAATTAAGTTGGCTCAGACAGGAATTCATTAGCTAAGGGAAAATGTGCTAAGAATTAGCAATTCACAAGACACCCGTATGTTGGGAGACGTGTTAGGGAATGGGAAAGGCATATATATACAATTTTGAGATAATGAATCTACGGTGGTGTGCTGCTGACCGAAGTTTTCGACGTCGTCGATTGGGAGTGACCTGTAAAGGATGGAAAATTAGATCTATTTCAATCATAATCACGAATCCGTAGGTCAATCATAATTGCGATTTGATGTGTTAAGTGTTCTAACTATTGGTCGTGAAAATTCATCTCCCAAGTACTAAAGCTGAAGGTGAAACGACACTCATTGGAATGTGTCTCTTGAACACCTGAAGTTTCGGAAAAGAAGTACAGCTTCCAGCATTCGAAACTGGTGGAATTTCATTGTTGTCTGCCTATTAAGGCCTTGGAGTCGCACTTGTCATGGCGCCTATCTATCATTTCGAAAGTGTCGATTACGGATTAACTATTACTCTCCCTCAGCCACCCCTGAATTCTAGGCTCATAATTCCAAGTCAGCCACAGTGACGCCCGCAAATCTGATCTCTGATATGCGGACTACATTCTGAATCCACCAATTTCTGCTGGTGGAGACCGCAAATACCTCCTGGAGGCCTTATCCGCCTAATAGGCATAGCCTGACGGACGCCTCTTCCTATTAATACCCCTTGCCATCGCAATTATTATCCTCACCTTCTTCGTCGTCAATCTTTCTTTTTTAATCATATTCGGCTTTTAATTTTTTCCCTTTTCTCCTCCTTCCCCCCTGCGAGCACTTCATGCAACGATTTCACGCCACATCACAAACCGTTAGTCTAGTTAGGGCTCCAGATGATCTGTCCAACAATACTCTAGTTGTGCGCATCGAAGGTTTGCCCCAACGAATGTTGTTAATCCCCAATGCTTGTGCACTTGGGCTGTAAAACTCGACGAATCGTGTTCGGTCCCTTGCCGGAATTCCGTATTTTCAGCGGACAGAACTTCGAAATATGTAGTACTTTTACCTACTCTGGTGGAGTTTCGCAGTCTTCTTCTTGTCGGAAATGGAATTCCGTAATTTGTATAAGCCCTCCGGGACATTTCACGAGAAACTCCCAAACCGGAATTTACTTAAACTCCCGTTTCCAAATTAGCCGTTCTACCATAAGACGAAATGGCAATAAGCATCAAGCTATATGTCTTAATTTGCCCACGCATTCCTTGCTCTAATTTCTTTCAAAGATAAATATTCTGCATTGCACCACAAAAGTTAACGATGCTCTCATCCGTCTCCCTTCAGTTAAAAAATTATCCGGTCGCAACTTAGGGTAAATAGATTTGGTGTTAGGTGGAGAGCACTGAAGCCATTCTAAAACCTCTAAAGGTGCCATCGAGGAAATCCTCACCTGTGCTTGTTTCATCCCCGCAAAGGAACCTTAGGAGAAAACTGGGGCAGGCATGCGCAGGCGCAGACATTTACTCTGATCAAGTAATGCGCACTGAAACCTACGTGCGCCTAGTGAATTCTAGATTCTTCTTTATCAGAAGGCAACACAGAACTCCCAGACCAACTTTTCTAATCGATCTTCCAAAAAATTCACTTTTATTTACTGGTAGTGCATAAAACCAAGCGCTGAGTAGAAAGGCTGGTTTTTCAAACATCAGATGCTTTTGTGATCTTTATGGCGTTTATTATCGCACTCATTTCTGTTTAAAAACTAGGTCCGCGAGGCACTGTCTACTGAGATGGGACTAAGCTCACGCGTGGTTCAAGTTTGGTTTCAAAACCAACGAGCAAAGGTGAGTAAGGAAAAGCCACCTTTATTCTGACAATGCCAGCTCTAACAGTTACTTTGACCGCGTAAAAGGTTTATTTAAAATGAAAGCAAGTCTGAGAAAGTCTTACTTTTGAGAAGGAATCAGACTTTGTAGTGATAGCTCAAGAGCCGTCTACAATTATCCAACATGAACACCAAATCGAGGGTGTTCCGGACATTCGCAATTACTCCACGCAGTGGATCTGAGACCTAGCGGGGTTACAAGTTAACGCATATAGCTTATAAAGTGGGGATGAAATGATCCATATGCTTGCGCCGACCAGGTTCCATTCTCCTGATCTGTGCGGCCTCCATATTATGCAGTGAGGGAAGTGCGATGAGAACCGAATTCGTAGATTTATGAATGAGATTTCGGTGAATAAAAGCAAGGGAAATTGGCAGCTACATTAGCTGAACACGTGTGAAAGTTGCCCATCCTTGAGAAACTGCAATCCACCCCGCCTCCCTTACAGAACACCGACTCGACAGTTTATATCGCGCTACACGAGAGAAGACCTCCGAGCTTTCGTTTCCACGGTCACGACTCACACCCTGTGCTGGCTAAACAGTCTGTACTCTGTGAAGTAAATATGCCATGCGCCTACAACTGCGTTATTTCATATACCTGCCATTGCCACGACAGTTATCAGCCGTTCAGATCACACTCCGTTTTATAAACCCGCACCTGTTGGATCCCAGTTAGTTTTTTCTTGTCTTCTCTTTATATTTACTGTTCAGTGGCTGAATGGCCTGTCCTGACCCTAAAATTTGCCAATCCTCAGTCGGCGGTCCGGATTCAACTTAAAATTAAGTCTGAGGGTCGTCTCCGAACACCTTAAGCTCAGCAAATTCTGCATTTGTCATAAAACACGCATACATTTTAGGACCACATTTTCGCCTCATTGGCGTTTTTAGACAGTTCAGTGGACTTCCGACCTTTCTGAAGTTGTGTTTATTTGTGATATCGACGTTGCGGTTGAATTTTACTTGCATCAACAATAGCAGACTGGGCGTTTTGGAGCACTTGTTACCGTGTTTGTTTCTGCAAACCAATGCTACTTTCGGCAAACATATTTCTAGAAACCCTACATTATTCACATATGGGCCCGTGACAAAAGCTTCGTTTGGAAGAATTCCCTCCGGTAGTGAAAGCCTGACTGTCCGAGAAAAAGTAGCATTGCAAGTTATTTGAAAGATTTGGCATGAACTGTTCAAAGTGAGAACTAACTGAGTATTTGAACTGTAAGGCTCCAGCAGACAAGAAATGGAAAGAACAGAAACCTGTAGATCCAGAAAGACTGCAGACGAAATCCCAGTGCAGAGCACTGCTTAATTTGTTAAAAAGTATTTAATTGTACTTACGAGTGGTCATGTGAGACCACACGCCCTAGTTAACCGACAGCATTTACACATTATGCGTCTGCAGAGGAAGATTCGATCACTGGGCCACACATTCCATCCGCCTGATGTTTGATGTTCACTCTCGAACCCATCATCAAGGACGGCAACAAACAAAGGCAGCGGACGGATAGGCACTGCAGCAAATGAGGAATTTCCGTGGTTTTCGCGCAGCATAAGACCTCGCACATCTAAATTAGACTTCATATCTCCCCAACACAATTATCTGAGAAAATTAAAAAGATACATCTCCTGCCATATGTGGTCATGTTATATACGATCATCACATACTTAGGATACAAAGGACGAAACCATCGAATTACACTTTGAAAGCAAATATGAAGAAAGGAACTCCTCAGACTCACTCAGATTCATCAACTCTCGAGGTCTCATCTCAAAACGTACTTCAAGTTTGTCAACGAGAGAGTAAAAAACAGACACCATAGAAAATCATTCTGTCAGTCTGTGAATTAAAGTGCCTATAAGATGGGTCCGAAGCGATCACCTAGATAAGATCACCTAGCAAAGATCATTTTATGGAATCTCGCGATGCGTTGATCGATCTACGGTGTGGCATGGTGTGCAATGGAAAATCGAAAGACCTCACAAATTGTTCGATAACTTGCCTTTCTGATTGCATAGGCAAAATTCTCATTGTGCCGTGATTGAACACCCTTCGCCATTTTGCGCTAAAATAAAAGTAACTATGCAGTTTCGGGAGGAGAAACTGCGCAACTGTCAGAAGCTTCAAGATATCCTCTGAAGGCTCCCCATAGGGGTCTCCGGTTGCATATTTAATTAAACCTTTGCAAGAGGACGGTGGCTCCGTTTTTGCCTATCGTCAGTGCAACACCAGCACTAAAATTTTCCGAAACTAGCACTTACACAGCCAGCTCCGCATAGTGAAAAAATGATGTTGTTGTTGGAATATAATCTTTCAAAAACCATTTTTTGCCTTGCCTTCAGACCAAAAAGTTGGCTCGTAGGAACGCCCAGAATTCCCAACCAAGAAGTGACTCTATGAAGACTTGCACAACGCTGTCGGACGACTACTTTGAAAACTCGAGCTCTGAACCGGAATGTTCCCTTTCCGGTCACTCTTCCATCATTGAATCAGTCGGCACGTCTGCAGGTAAAGTGATTCTCGTGGCAATGATTCAAACTTTTCTGGACTAAATTTCAGAAGCTTTCGAAGACAAGATAGACACGCATAAGCATTGCTCGAGACTGTGACTTTCCGTTGTTGGACACGAAAATCTACGAACTGAACCATCCTGCCAATGTTTCACAGATGCTAATAGGGTCAGCCTAAACACCAAAGAGATTGTTACTATAGCTACGTCACTATCCACAGAAACACTGGCTTGGAGCCTAACTGTCCGCCGGGAAAGCTTTCGGATACAAACGGTAGAGTAGAGCGCGGCCGATGTTGGAGAAAAAGGTCTATTTTTAACGCAGCCCTGCGATGACGTAAGGTTAAACCTGGTGTTGGCAAAGACGAGAGAAGGAAATGTCCACACTCCGTTCTAAGTTGAAGACAGAACACCAGTCGCATGTGTTTGCGTGCACACACATCGGCCACTTAAATAGGACTAATTTGTGCTGACTGAGTTTATTAAAATCCTGATCGAGTGGAGCACTTTACCAAGACCGTGGCATGTGATTCAACTCATAGATTTTTGTTTGTATCTGAGCTTCTTTTGGCAGTTGTGCCTTTGGTGCGAGTGATTAACTTTGTTTGTGTGTGGCGGACGTTAGCCAACATGTCATTACTTAAACGTCATGTACCTATGAGTACCATCCTAGAAGAGCACTTAAAGACCTGAATTTTCATTTATCTATCCGTTGTCTGCGGTGCCAAACCCGTGGGACATCTACATGCCACAAAACAGTCAGTTCAATATGGCCCGATAACCAAAAAGTCGAATTTGTCCTTCTTGCCCTTGAACCTTTTCGCTCATGTTACCCAGTAGTATTTGCGGATTTGTCGCCGAAAATTTAGTCTGCTCCTAAACAAAAACGCGCCTCCCTGCAGTCCCATCTGTCTGTCTCTAGTGAATGAAAGAGCGCTATCCGCGAGCTTCCGTCACTAGATGTGTACCAGCTTGGTGAAGAAGGCAGATGATGACAACGATGAGACTCAGTCCAGACCGTGGCATGCTTTGGCAGGTATTGCAGAGGTTTTCAGAACAGTACGACTCGGTCTCTTTGACTTAGGAGTCAACATATCTCCTCCAACCGCTGTTCCAAATATGAAACCGAGACGTCAACACCAAAGGCGAGTAACTGGATGCTATTCCAGACATACTGTGCGATAGTGGCCTTTGGAAATATATGGGTAATGCAGAGAAAGGGTCGAACTTTAAGCAGAGCATATATAAACTGTCAGCAGTTCGACAAAGTAACCCATTATCTTTTATTGTTGACAGTTCTACCGTCCTTGCCGACGATGCCCACCGTGTGCTCCACACCAAGGTGAGAGTGGGCAAGGTGACTAATGCGTGAATTGGTTTATAGTGGTAGTAGGTTTGTACAGTATCTAACACTCTCTCCTCTCCTCCTCACCCGGGTCCGGTGTCAAGACACAGGCAAGTAGATCGGAGGCGGGAAAGGGCGGAGGTGGCTGACACGACCGGACCCGCACCTAGGCGTGCCGCTCCACCCCCGGGTCCAAAACAAACATTTGACCAGAACTTTAACAAAAAATGGGTCAGAAAGAGGAGGATGACACAAGTAACTGGAAAACCACGCACATGACCCTTATACCCAGCGGGAGCGCAAACGCATCCGCCGGCAGGGAACCGGGTTCCAGAGAACTGCCAGCGCCCACCAAGCTGCGAGGACACAATCCTACAAAGCAAATACGATGAAACGGAGAATCGTCTTGGACGCGCCCAGGTCCTTCAGCTCCTGAAGTTCTGTCTCAGGACGTACTTCACGTTCGACGTGACAATCTACGAACAGGTGAAGGGCACACCAATGGGTTCGCCGATTTCGGGATTCATAGCCGAGGCGGTCCTGCAACGGTTAGAGTCGCTGGTCTTCCAACACCACAAACCGACGTTCTGGGCCCGGTATGTGGATGATACCTTCGTCGTTATCGATCGGGATCAACTGCTGACATTCAAGGAACGCCTGAATGCGGTCTTCCCGGACATACAATTTACGATGGAGGAGGAAGAGAACAACCAGCTGACCTTCCTGGATGTCCTCGTATGCCGCAAGTATTGTCATGGACTAAAGACCAAAGTGTTCAGGAAAGCGACAAATACGATGCAAGTACTGAACTTCAACAGCAACCACCCAATCAGTCACAAACGCAGTTGTGTAAGGACGCTCTATCGGCGTGTCGAAACGCACTGCAGTTGGCCGGAAGACAAGATTGCTGAACTACAATACCTCCGACGGGTATTCAAAGCCAATGGCTACCCGAGCAACTTTGTCAACCGGTGCATACGCAAAATGGACGAAAGGCCTAACCGCAGGGACACCAAAGTTTGGCGAGCGCTTCCATATGTCAAGAACGTTTCGGAAGCTGTTGGCCGCCTTCTCGCACCGCTGGGGGTTGGAGTTGCACACAGGCCAGAGGCAACCATCAGGCGTCAACTGATGAAACCAAAAGACCCACTGCCACGGCAAGAAACGTCTGAAGTCGTTTATCGGATCTGGTGCAGTTGCGGACAAAGGAACTACGTTGGAGAAACCGGAAGACAGCTCCGAACGCGAATGTCCGAACACGCTGCAGCAGTGCGGGGAAATGACGCCAGCTCTCAAGTTGCGGCTCATTCGACCGGTTCCGTCCACACATTCAAATTTGACGAGGCCGAAATTCTCGCAAGAGGTGACAACCGCGTGAGCCGGGAGCTGTTTGAGTCATGGTTTACTAACCCCCAGTCTATTAACAAGTACAATGATCTTCCCCTTCCATACTCAATGCTGAGACATCGTCTAGGCGGAGTAATTGGCCACGCGGGGAGCGCACTGATGAACACTCTTCCCAACACCCGGGTCAGCGCGTCAGATGATCGAGCAGTCATCACACCAGAATCCAACGCACGTGATGAAATTGCAGCAATTAACGACGCGAATATCGGCCATCACGCCACGGGCAACGATCCCTGATGAAGAGGAGGGAGCCGTGAATATTCATAGGTATGTGGTAGCATGTCTACTGCATCCTATCAATACTGCAGCCGCATGTGCATGAACCACCCTTATCTTCTTATGTCTCTGATGATGTATTCGAGCAGGAATCCGAAACGTCAGACTAATGAAGCTCTTGTCCCGGCGATCGTGTCTTCTTCTTTTTCTTCAATCCTTAAAGTCCAGAAGGGTGAGATGCTGCCCTGCAGGCGGCCTGGGCCATCACCCTTCAAAGGCTGAGTAACTAGTCAATCATCCGTATGAAACACACCCATACTCTTGAGGGGGCCAGCACTACCGGTAGCTTAACGAGCCTAAGGTAAGTTGTGCGAGTGACAGGTATACGCTTTTATGTTAGCAGTCGATATGCGTGCTCCCCCCCCCCCCCCACCGAGCACCTCTACTCAACCGGTTGCGAGAACTCAAATCGACTTCTCTGGTTGTTTGCTATCAAGATCCATACATCTTTACGCCGTAAAACGAAGACGCAACACGATATTCGGTCTCCTGCATCTTTGTGGTCAATACAACTTAGGCCCCTTCTTAATCAACATCTTGCGCTTTATTTTAGGGGGTCACCAACTGACAGATGCTAATTCATCCTTCCAAACAACATGCGATCTGGCGGACGCTGAGTTTGCAGACATCTGTGTCCCGCAGTCTTTCTCCTGTCGGTCTTCGCCCACTCCCTATGCTTTTACTCAACTATCGACGGTTCTGAGCGAAGGTACGGAGGAACCCACTGCAAGAATGGAATGTCTTCCTCAACTCTCACATTACTACCTTAGCAGCTTTTCTGCGCTACTGCCAGCCAACCACCCCGGAACGTCCGGACAAACCGTCCATGGGAGCAATTTCTCCAGAGAACAAGCAAGAGAATGTTATGATCGTTCGGCAGATATTCACCTGCTGGATCCTAACGTTTTGGCGGCCGAAACATGTACAACAGCCCCAACACCTCCGGTGTTTAGACACCTTGCCTCTAGGATGCAAGTTGGAGTCAACAATACAATATTCGTAGACTAGCTTTTTCTCTTGTATGCATCCAATTCGGGAACTGCTGAAGTCGCTACTGGGCTGGCTGGAATGACTGTCTGATCATCCCGCCCTTCGGCACCCATTGTATATGCGCTGGCATATAAACTACGGGTAAAAGTAGGAAAATTCTGTGTAAGGTAAACTAGGAAAAGCAAAGAGGACAGAGGTAGTAGCTAATGCAGTCTTATTCATGCGGCGGTGTGAATAAGCGCAACGATTCTTATGGCGCTGGGGAACGACTGACCTTGAGAAGGCGATACTAAACCTAAAAACAGCCGTTGTCTCAGTCTCCCCTGGACCTGTCAGTCCATCTCTGATGCTGTTTGCTTTGTAGCCAAACGGGTGGTCGCCTGTCCGCAGTTCTAACGTCAGAGAACAGAATCAGACTGTTCCAAGAGGCCAGCCAAATTATAGTGTGTCCAGCAACGTGTGAGGGAAGATTTTCTACGATTGTTATGTCCACAGTCGAACGTTAACAGAGCTAAGGCTCGAAAAATAAAAAGCTAACAAGCCTGAAGAAAGCAGTAAGCGCTGTGGAAATAAATTTTTGGAAACACTCTTATAAGACACAAATTGTCCGATTGCTATTACCTAAAACCACCTGGCTCCTAAATATGTCGACGACAGAAAATCTAGGTTAGTTGTAAGCGAGGCGTTTTAAACGACAAGACCAGAAGAGTCTACAAATATGTAACATTTAACTAAGGAAAACGACCATCTGATTCTGCTTGGCGGAACTTGTTTCTCTTTTGGCCCCTGATCATCTAATAACTAGAACTAAGTTACTGTCGGCTGAGTTCGAGTCAGATTAGGAAGTTTTGTAGGAGTGCCTACCAAGCAAGCAGTATTTTTGTCCCCGGAAATAAGTCGCAGTTGCGTAATGTGACTGGTGTACTATCATAAAGATCTGGTTCGGTTTTAAGGCATGAAAAGACACTTTGTAGGAGGGTAGTTTGGGGGGGGGGGTGAAGTACACATACCCGGGTCCTACCCCAGCCTTTTCTACCCATGTTTCCTAACCCAATATATTTTTTCCTGTCTTCACTAATGATCTATTTCGCATAGTGAAAGTGTGTGCATCACCCTGTTGCCACTCATTCATTTTTTTATAAATTGATACACACCGGCTGCGCATGCTTGGGCGTCGTGTTTGACTGTTGGGGAATTTCCTTTCATCGTCCTTTAACGCCTCGACTCCTGACCTCGGATTCATCGCGGAAAGTTGTTGCCTGTGAATTAACATGCAATGAGCTTAAAGAAGAGAAAACGGACTAACTGGAAGTTTAATGGATATTCTGGAGAGGGCGGGTTGAACGAGTTTTTAGCCTTCAGATTCGCCCGGACCCAACGTTAGCACGTCTCTTCTGGTGCTTTAGAAGTAGACACGGACATCTGATAGTGTGTTCTACCTCCCTAATTTCCGGCTTATTAGCCGTCGCCAGCCAGTTATACCCAACCCCGAAGTGTGGAACACTTAGGGTTCGAACTCGCGACCTGCTAGTTCCAACGCCTCTAAGCACTGAGCCACGGGCTAGTCGTCCTGTCGGTTTCGATCGGGAACTTACAATGATGGAGGGGTGCCCACCGATCGTTCTGCCTATATCATCCACCGCTGTGCGGCTGCTGGTTTGACTCGAGAGAGAGAGAGAGAGAGCCCGTAAGGCACAAAGGAACGAGTGAGTTCCGTAAAAACGATCGGTGAGCGCCCTTCAACCATATTTGTCGGTATTCATACCTGTCTCTAATTGCCCCCCTGCCCTTGAGAGATTGACTAAATCACTCATTTAGATGGTTTTGTTGCGAATTCGGATTAATGAAATGTTGTCACCTGAATCCGTCACTCCGCCTGTTTTATGCAGGTCCTGTCCCATCAGAAGTCTTGCGTCTAATAAAAAAGGCATAAAGCAGCCCTGCCTCAACAGTCTCGATCTAATCTGCTGCGTCCCCGTGCCATCTAAACTGAGAGGCCGATTGTGGAAATTGTAGCTTCACGTCAAACTGCCTCGCAATAAACCTTTCCCTTCTCAGGATATCTTGATTTTCCAGAAGTTTTCGCAAATTTCCTCGCATGCAGAGACGATGCGGGAACGATTTGCAAGGGCCAAAATTCCCTCCGTTTTTAATCATCTTACCGATGTTTCGTTGGGCCCACGAGAGCAAATGGTGAGCACGGGGACTACATGAGGTGCAGAAGTTTCTTTGACTGGTTAACAAACATGAATTAGAATCGATCACAGATGCCCGCGGAGAATACAGAAGGAAGGGTGGGTAAGGCTGCATTCTTTGTTGCCACAATGACCACCGTCTCCACGCAAACGAGTTCTGCCAAATTAGAGACCGTTTGATACAGTTCATAACTTTGTGAGCTGTCGTTCTTTCCTAGTAGGTGAAGAGAGGGGTGATAACAGTGTGTGTGTGGTACAACTCTGTGAACGAATGCGAATAAGCCAAAGGTGATTTCGGGAGGGACTGAGGTTCACGGTCGAAATAAGTGGATCGTATCGTCAATTTATCTCCCATGCCATCCAAGAAAGATGGAAACATGAGCAATGGAACCAATGGAGCGGGAAAGGCCTACTTATTCTGGTATCTTATTTCCTTTCTGGACAGTGAGCAATTACCATTGAATTTATGTCCTAAATTCCAAGAAAACAACTAAATCAACGCACTCGCTGTAAATAGAGGCGGTTAACGTTCACTGAAGTAAAAGCAATTTTACTGAGTCAAGTACGGCCTCAAACTTAATGATGCGTCAGACCCAATAGGACTTCAAACATAACGAGGTCGCCAACTGTCTGATCAAGCGTTGTGTACCATTTTGTGTGCGGCGTGTGGGAGACGACAAAATACCATGTCAACCATGACGGTCAGACTTATTTCATGGGTTGGTCCCAGGATGACAAGCCCGTGGCTCAGTGGTTGGAGCGTTGGACTTCTAATCAACAGGCCACGAGATCTAGCCTCGGGGATGATAAAAAAAAACCTGCAGTTGGGTATGACTGACTGATGATGGCCAACAAGCCAGAAGTAACCATCCCAGTCCCCGCTGTCTTTTTCGATAATATTATCCTGCCTATATACGCTGAAAATCATTCTTGATTTTGGACTCAAAGTCCCAAATACATATTTAATGTTCTTTTACTGTGATTCAGACCTTTGCAGTTTCGGACATTTGTTGAGGAGAAGCAAGGAAAATAGTCATGCACAAACCACTCCTATCGCGCTTTGCCAATGTCTCGCATCTTATTCCAAAGTCTAATTTAACTGAGACGGTCAAATGTGGTTATGTAGCCCCACCTGAGGTATACAAATCTCGGTCGCCTGTAATACGTCACCGGAGGTAACAGGGGTTTTTGTAGGTTGGACCGGGGGAACGTACAGGCGACGAGGCCAAGCAAATGTATGCAAAAGAAAAGCTATTGACGATGTGCGATTGTACCTTGACTGGTTGACAAATAGTTGCCCTAACCACTGACACTAACGCCCTAACCCTAACACCTAAACCTAAGCCCTAACCCTTGTCTCAACCCTAACTCTAATCCTTAACCTCAGCCCATAACCCTAACCTAACAGTATTGTGCCCATCAGATGGGGCTAAATCGCCATATTTTACCACTGATACCCACGAGAACAGCTGCAATGAGCCGTTCCACTGACGTCGGGACGGCGTTGTCGGAAATTTCACCGAATCGTCAAGGGACAGAAAGAAGAAAGAGAAGTGAGTAGTCCTCCGGTGGTAATCCTAGAAGGTATTATTTCTGAAACAAGTATATAAAATTCATGGACAGCAGACAGAACTGTTGCGGCAATTTCTCAGATAACAGATAAGTTTCCGGATACGACAGATTATGAATATTCTACACCATTCTCTTCGTCCATGACATCCCAGCTGAAGTCGTGCATTACGACGGTGCCATAAGAAGGTATCTGGGATTCGTCCG